AACATTGATCAAGCATGTCATAACCTGCCAGATAAAATAGTGACATAATTGAACATGGCCAGCATTTTGTTCTGCTGACACCTTCTTTACAATATAACATGTTTTTAATGGATGAAAATGGGATAAAAAAATAAAAGTAGTTTAACTGTTGTCTATGCTCACAATTTCCCTGTGACTTATTTTTAAATCACATCGCCTTTTATCAGAAATTGCATTGCAAGTTGCAGATTTACTAGAGAGGGGTGCACCCTCCAAGCCCTGACCGGATAGGGTGAAGGGGGTGCTTTTTCATGATAAAGCAAAAAATAATAGAGACAAAATGAGATACAGTAATTTGAGCAATAACAATAAACATGATGATAAGCAAACTGTGAACAATTCAAATTCAAATGTAGTATGTTGATGGGCGAGTGGCACACATGGCCGACACAACTCTGCACCAGAGCTTCAGTGGCACTGCCAGCTCAATAATTGGGGGGGAGGGGCGAATATTCATATCTTCGTGTTCTGCATTATTAACTTCTTTTGAAATTGATTGTTTTTATGCTCTGTGAACACAAATATATGAATATTCGCCCCCCAATTATCGAGCTGGCGGCACCCAGTGGCGTAGCCAGCCCGACGATTTAGTCCCGCTATGCAAATTCAAAATTATTATCATTATTCATTTCTTTAGAAATTTATTGTTTTCAGTCAGTGAACACGAAAATATTTGCATAGCGGGACTAAATTGTCGGGCTGGCTACGCTACTGCCGGCACCACTCTGCGCAGAGCTTGCAGAGCAGCCCCCTACCAGATCATGCTGGATCGATCCCTGTATTATTTTATTTACACATGGAGGTGTATCTCTTTTGGTGGCGTAAAGGCATGTTTCTTGACACAAGTGACAATCCAAATTTTTAGATGGCTGTTTAAAATTTTAGTCAGCTGGATGGCAGGCTGGTTAATACCATGCAGTAATGCAGTAGAATAATCTTGAGCATAACATCTAACATAATACAGCAACAATATAAATTGTATAACTTTGCTTGATTTATAGTTACTGAATATATAAACACTTCTTACATTTGGTCAACTTGCACAATAGTTGCTTGAAATTTGTGTTACAAGCACAGGTCAGCACTAAGCAGTTTACTCAGCGTTTATACATAGTTGTTTACATGCTGTACATGTACTCAACAAATCCCCGAGATATTTCTCGCTATAGTAACATACAGCGTAAACATATATACAGCGTAAAAACACATGGGATTGTATATTTGAAGTTTGTTCTTTGCTGAAATATCTCAAAATTTGTGTTGACAAACCAGTTTCAATGTCATGCACGTCCACTATACGTGTAACAGTAATCGACAATTCCAAGAGGCAAGAGCATCCATTATCCAGTTGAAATTTTGACATTTACCACTCCATCTGCATTCTAGACTATTCCATTTCCCAAAAGTATTATGTAGGATACAGGCCAAATATAAATTGAACGGTTGCAAAAATTCTTATAAATTCCATTCACATTTCACACTTCGTCTTTCGATACGATTTACATAGTTTCGGCGTGGTTTGACCATCTGTATTTCGTTAAATTCCGGCCATCCGTTGTAAGTGCAAAATAATCAATGTTTCATTCATATTTGTTTCAATTTGCAACATAAAAATGATATTCTCTATCGATATTTTTTCGAATTGTGTCCGAGTATAAAAAGTCGTATCCTATGGCAGTAGGGGTAACACAGCTTTTGATATTTTGTAGTAGTTTTGATATGAACAATTAATCCCATGGGGGTGGGGGTAACATAGCCGGTCCACAAGGGTTACATAGCTGATCCAAAGTCTTCGGGTTTTGGCAGGCATCGCCACTATTAATTTTTTTGCCTGCAAGAAATTTTGCCCGATAATCGAAAGGCGATGCCTGCGGAGGAGGCTACGATACGATCGTACTTGTTTTTACATTCATTCGCCGCTGAAGAAATTTGTTCCTTGCTACAGTTGCTTAAAATTTTCAACTTCTGTTTGACCTTTCGTTGACGGCGCGAAAGAACAACAAATGAACTTTTTCGGTGGCGAAATTTTTCGCCAGCGGCGGCGAAATACGTGAGTGGAAAACGGGCTTTACTTTACTCCCGATTATTTTTGTGCCTCCTGGGATCGGAAGTATTGCATATCGAAAGTTCTAAATTCGCCGCGAGATATAATGCTTTCCAGGTATTAACAAACAATAGCTGCTTGATTCCTGGAACCATAGATGCAGAGGACGCCTGATGTCTTGTTTGTTATTTTGTTTTCTTCGTAAAATCAATACATAAATAATGTGGCTGTAGCAGCCAAGCCTAAGGATTTGCTAACAATTGATGAGGTTGCTGAAGTTTATTATTAAACCTCACCGGCTGTATTCTGTTCATATAAATATTGCGTGTGATAGTTGCAAGTTGGGGAACTGAATCAGACAGGCGTATAAAGATTACAAATAATTCGCACGAAAGCGATGAAACCGAAACGGTAAGCTGAATTTGCCATGGTCGCCATGTCTAGACATGTCCCTGACTTGGCATCCTCATAAAATTGATGAATGAAAAACAGCTCCTGAATCAGATCGGTTATAGTATAACCTCAAATGTATTTCCTCAGCATATTTGATATGAAGTAGGCTATAGCGTCTATCCAATGTCCCAAATTATGAGTGTAATCTAAAAATGAAAGTAAATATTTACGAAATTGCATCAAGATATTGTTCCCATTCGTTTTTAGCTGTCAAATGAGACCTTTTAAAGTGGGGGCCAGCCAGGGGGGGGGGGGGG